ATAAGTTTTAATTTCCATTTCCAATCATAAAATCGAAATTTTTGTAAATTTACATTTTCAGTCCAAAAATCAAAATTTTTGTTAATAAAAAATATTAAATTTTTCAAAAAATTTCAATTTCGTTTTCAATACCGAAATCAGAATTTGGCAAATTAAGTTTTCAAGAATTTTCAATTTCCATTTTCAATTCCAAATTCATAATTGAAAAAATTAAATTATCAATTTCCAATTCCAAACACAAAACAAAATTTTTGTAAATTAAATATTAAAATTTTCAAATTAAATTTTCAATTCCAAAATCATAATTTTTGTAAATTAAATATTAAATTTTTCAAGAATTTTCAATTACAAAATCATAATTTTTTTAAATTAAATTTTCAATTTCCATTCCTGTCTCTTATACACATCTAGATGTGTATAAGAGACAGGATTTACATTAAATTACTTTTAATTATAGTGTTTCCGTTAGAAATATGTAATTATTTCCTTTTTATTCTTTTTAATTTAAGCTTTTATTTTGAAAATTATTATTTTTTTTTAATTTAAACTAAAATCTTTAAACTAAAAACTATTTTGTAAATATTTAGTTCTGATTTTGAGATAAAAATTTTATTTTCTAAATTTAAAAACATTTTCATTCTCAAAATCAGAATTTTTGTAAATTAAATTGTAAAAAAATTTTGATTTCCATTTTCAAAAATTTTGAATCTCTATTTTCAATTTCAAAATCAGAGTTCTTGTAAATTAAATTTTAAAAAATTGTCAATTTTCGTTTTAAGCCCCAAAAGCAGAATTTTTGTAAATTTTGAATATTAAATTTTCCTGTCTCTTATACACATCTAGATGTGTATAAGAGACAGATTTTTAATATTCTATATTAAATTTTCGATCCCAAACTCAAAATTTGTGTAAGTTAAATACTAAATTTTTGAAAAATTTTCAATTTCGTTTTCAATACCGAAATCATAATTATGCTAAATTAAGTTTTAAATCTAAGTTTTTGTAAATTAAATATTAAATTTTTCAAGAATTTTCAATTACAAAATCATAATTTTTTTAAATTAAATTTTCAATTTCCATTCTCAGTCCCAAAATCAGAGTTTTTGTATA